TTTTGAACTCATGCTATATGTAACCTTTTTTTTTAGAGGGCGTCTTAATGCAACAATAAAAAGCAATTATGTAGATTATGTGGGCCACAACTCTCCGACTAAAATCGTACCACATTTCTTCAAAGTTATCCATACTTATGCAACCACATAGAGAAAAAGTTAGCTTTAAAGAAGGTGTTGTTTTTAAACACATACTAGAACAACATATATCAAACAAATATTTATTCTACGGGTTCTAGAAATATATCTAACAAATATTTGTTCCAAAATTTTTAGCAAAGAGAAAATAGAAATGCATGGTGCTCATACATATGAAAGTAGAACCGTTGCTCATATTCATTTGTGGAAATAATATTAAAAAAATGAAGATTACTGATGGAAACTGAGTACCAAAAAATATTTAGTGAAAACAAATGATTGAGAAACTCTAAACTTTGGCTAGACGAACTAGACAGGAATTAAAAAGAAATAAAATACTTACAAGCTAAGGATTCAAATCAAACCTAAATCTTTAAGTTTTAAGTTGTTGTAGTTCTGCTCATAAACTAGTACCAATTGCATGTATCCATTGCCCTTCACCTTTGCAACATGAGGTACCAAGTGAAAAGCACAATCTACCAAATTATGCTACTTGAAAAAAAAATGTGTTTATATTTCTGTATCACTACCAGAAGAACAAAAGCAAGAAAAAAAGACAGAAAAAAATTGCAAACTTGTTTGCTGTGATTTTATTGGGATGTTTTCTGCTCAAATATGAAAACGTTCTATTGGATTTGATAGACTCAGACGTGCCATCATGTTCTAGGATCATAGTAATTAGTATTTACACATCTCTCAACTATACCAACGTGAATGGATAAAAGAAGAGAAACAAAAGTGAAAGATTATTATGTAAGCAAAGAAACAGAAGAATATACTCTTAGCTTTACTCCCAAGTTGGCTGGTATAAATCCAATGAAAATACGTAATGAATTAGAGAAAGCTGAGCATAGGACACCAAAGAAACAACTTATATATGTTACAAGGTTTGAGTAGAACCATTGCTCATATTCATTTGTGGAAATTAGCAAGGTACCATGAAGCAAATCCATGCAGCAGCATATGAAGTTCTATTTTCCCCAAATATTGCTAACATGAAGTTCTATTTTTCCTCAAATACTGCCAACAATTAGTTTCTTATGTCGCCACATATATAACATCCAAGTCATCACTACAAGTATGCCCAACAGAAGCAAAACTACAAATAAACATCAACCAACAACCTCAAGCATTGAAAACAAAAGCAAAAACATAACAAAAAGAATCACAATAATTACATAACAGAAAAAATTGAGGCTATATTATACCACTGGGACATGAAAAGACCTTAAACATGGTTGTTGATAGATTAAACTCGCAGATAAGAAATTTTGAAGATAAAATAAAAATAAAAATCAGCCTTGAAAGAAAAAAAAATGATAAAACTCACAAAATGATAAAGGTTCAAGAAAAGGATTACCTCAAATAAGCTAGAATCAATGAACCACAAATGAATTTTTTGAAATTTCTTTGTTATCGCAGAGCTCTTCTCGCAAAATCGTCTCGCAGTCGGCCCTCTTCCTCTGTGTTCTGAAGATTGAAAAATGAGGGTTTATATGAAGTAATTGTGTAATCTATATATATATATAATAAGAATTAACATTTACCAAAAATAGTAGCAAAAAAATAGGTCAATAATTTAATGAAGCCTATAAATAGTAAGTTTTATTATTTTTTTTATTTTTTTCTTTAAAAATCATACAACATTAAATGCTACCTTAAATTTCGGGCTTTAGTTCATTTTATTATTTAAAAAATCTGACTAAGATTTATTAAGTGTGTATGTTTTTATTTTTATTTTTTTTCTTAGAAACAACAAACAATATTAAATCTCGGTCTCTATATTTATAAAATCTCAATTTAAAATATAACAAAAGTTTTTGAATCTCGGTCTTTATATTTGTGCCTTAAAAAAAATTGAACGCTAAAAATATTCTTTAAATTGCATAATCAATCAATTAATCTTAATTTTTTGAAATGTTTAAACTAATTGATAAATAATTTATAAATCTCTATTTTATTTAAATATGTAATTTTATTTAAAATATTTTTAAATATAATAAAATTATTTTAGAAAATCGTATCGATCCTATCAGTCCAACCGACTGGTGGTGACGGATTCGAGAGCAATTATTTTATTCAAGCGAACTAGACTGGTTATAAACCGGTTCTCGGTCCATCCGGTCGGACTGTGTCCAACCCGATTTAATTTAAAAATAATGGATAAATCATGATTAATGTTATTTATATATTTAATTTATAATACAATCGTAATATTTTTTTTCTCGTGCATCGCACGGGCCACGCACTAGTTCTAATGAGTTGAGAAAGGCATATTAGTACAATCAAGTATAAAATTTTTCCTCCCCGCCAAATTTGAGCAAAAAATTTCACCTCATTTCCTTGCAAAAAAATTGAACTCTCCCCTCCCTTTTCCCCAAACCAAATACTATGTTACTTTCTAAATCTCAAATAAAAATAAACTTCATAAACCTATTTTTTCACATATTTTCTTTTTATATTATTCATTTAAATATTAATTTTAAATATATTAAAAAAAGAAGTGAACGGGGTCCACTAAATGTAAGAGAAAAACAAGTGGATGTAGATCTTATGAAATTTATGAAAGGTTCGTCGTGGTTTGTATTTTCAAACTTGTTTATTATCTATATATATATAATTACTAGCTAATAGAATTTAATAAAACCTATTTAATTTTACCTATGTGTTAATTTAACAATTTTCCTTCCAAAAACCGTTACATTTTGATATATTTAATCTTTCATTTAATCATTAAATAATTAATACTCATCACTTCAAAATTACAAAAATCATTTTAAACTTTTGATTAATGACAGTTGACCATATAATGTGTTGACCGTATAATGTGATTAGATGTTATTATTGTTGTTACATTTAATTTTTTTTTTGAAAATAAAAAATATATTTGAAATTCTTAAATAAATAATAAATAATTTACAAATAAAAGACGTACCAAAATATACATTACATCCAATCAGATAAACGTAATTTAAAAAAAAAAAATATTCCAACTCTTTTAATTGTAAATTTGGTCTGCAAAAAAGTGAAAGAAAAATAATTAATCATTATATGTACAGACTCACAATAATTTATTTATATCTGTGCAAATGCACAGGTCGAATACTAGTAATGATAAATTTTAAGGTTTGTGTTTTCAAAACTTATTCAAAATTCATTATTAAAGATGTTGTATTAGTAAGATTAGATTTTGTAGATGGATAACAAATAATAATAATAATAATTATTAGAGAATCTATTACTATATAATACGGAGAAGAAAAATTATTTGAACAATCCGAAAATAATCATTTCGTTTTCCCGCTTCAATATAGTGTTTTTCCCGCTTCTTCAATTCGTAAAATTTTTTTTTGAGTTTTTTCAGCCCACGCAATTAGGTAACCAATCAAATCGAATCTTTTAGCATTCAATTTGGTAAGGTGTTCTGATTTTAGCATTCAAATCCGATTTCACTTCCTTTGTTTATGCCAATCAATCCGATTTTTTTGTTTGTTTCAAAATTTGTTTAGATTTTTATTTTTATTTTATTAATATATTTGAAAGAGAATCAATAAATGTTTATCATAACTTTTATTTTAAGAATAAATTTGAATAAGCATACCTTTTACTTTATATGAAATTCAAGATTACATATTTTAATATATTAATAAACATTTATTATTTATTTTTTTTTCTTATGTGATATAATAGAATTTCGGTATTAAATTTGTAAATTCAAACATATAAAGGAAAAGATTCCAAACAATTTTTTTGGGTAAATTTCATTTTATCTTGGTTTTCATTATCACATTTCTAACAAACTAATTAGTATTATAATTTTTTATCTACATTATCTAACCGATTTTTTATGATACAATTAATATAATATCTTAACAAATTAATCATTTGTCTAACTGGATTTATCTCTCTAACAAACTTGTCAATTTTTTTAAAATTAAAATGGTATGATTATTCTTATGGAGATACTTATCAATATATTAAATATTTAGAAACTTTTTTAAAAAATGAATTATCCCTCCTTTTACTTTATTTGAAATTCTGACTTATATTTTTAAATATATTATTATTTATTTTTTTACATGTAAATATTTATTATTTATTATCTAAGTGATAAATATTATTGATTTATCTCTTTAATAAATATTTATTATTTATTTTTTTTCTTACGGATATAATGTAAATTTGGTTACTAAATTTTAAATTCAAACGTTTAGGAAAAAACCACGAACAAATTTTTTGGTTAAATTTCATTTTATTTTAACTTCCATATAATCACAATCCTACCAAACTAATTAGTATAATGTTTTTTTTTACCCATTTTTATATAATCGGATTTCTTAAAATATAATTAATATAACATTTTAACTATTTAATCATTTGTATAACTTGATTTACCTCATTATCAAACTTGCCAATTTTTTTTTAAAATTAAAAAAAAAGGAAGATTTTTATTTGTAAAATAATAAAAAAATAGATTTACTTTAAAGTCTGGATTATTTCCATTATTTTTTGTACGTTAACAATCATATATTTTGGATTATTGATTTAAAAAAACAAATCAAAACCGTAAGGTTTAATAATATTCCTTAAATAAAAAATATTGTATAAAGAAAAGTATTTAATATTATATATTTTTCATTGATTGTATTTATTTTATTTTCATAATAGACGAGATGTGAAAAATATAAATAATTATATTTATAACAAAGTCTAAAATATGTATAAAATATGAACTATTCCGTGCATCGCACGGGATGTACATTAATTGAGTTGAATTGGAAATAAGATAATCTAATTATTAGAAAGTACGAGAATTCGGTCAATTGGATTGTGGAATGTATAAAAGTAAAAGGACATGTCATCCGAGCAAGACAAATACACACACAGTTTGTGTATATATCCACACGCGACACGCTCAAAATCCTCGTTCATCACTTTCCTCTCTTCGAATTCCATCATCGGCTTTCTATCTCTCTCTCTCTCTTTCTCTGCATGGCAACTTGGAAATCGGAATTCCAAGGTTAGGGCAATTGGAGAAGAATGTGTGGCCGCTGAATACAGCGTGCTCACGATGTGATTTTCGGGCATTTTAGGGTTATTTTGGCCGGATTTTTAAGTTAGTTGAAGAGTGATTTTAATTTCTGGTTACCTTCTAGAATTTGTATTAGGGTTTTCGTTTTACATGAAGGGCCTATTGGATCGTACGAAGGTGGTGCTGAGGCACCTGCCCCCCACGATTTCTCAGTCAAACCTTGTCGAGCATATTGATTCCAGATTCTCCGGCCGCTACGGTTGGCTCGCCTTCCGCCCTGGAAAATCGAGGTGAGGTTCTAGCATATGAAATTGCGTCTTTTCTTCTTTTTAATTTGAGATTCTTTTTAGGGGAAATGTTTACTTATGTGTCCAGATATGATGCGTTCTTGTTATTAGAATGGATTGGAAGTAGTTATCGAATTATTAGGTTCTGATGTCGATAATGTCACAAGCACGTAGGATAATTTTTAAAGAGGGACCAGACTTTTGAAGTAATATTTAGTGCTGGCATTGATTTGGTTTTCAGAATTTGTTACCATTCACTTAGGTAGAGAATGCTGCTCAGTATGAGGGGTCAATATTATGTCTTTGCCGGGTTTTTATTTACCATACTGGATTCACTCGGGTCATTGACAGTTAAAAAGGTATCTGATTTTTGCTATTGGCAATTGTGATATGGTGAGGCATTTTGGTTTCTTTTGTGTCTGTCCTACACCTGGTCACAATTCGAGTTTTCCAGATTCTTCTGTACTCAAGTTAATAGAAAGATCATTTCTTTATCCCCAAACCACTACTTGGTTGTAACTTCTTGGTAGGCATGGAATAAGTGAACAATTGAGTCGTTGCTGGAAGCGGATGTGAGTCAGCTATAGCATGGACCAAGGGATGGTGCTTGGCAGCCAAACTTATGCCTGCTGTGATCCATTATGTTTGGGCTGTTGGCCGTTATTTTTTACTTTGGAGGAGATGCGCATAACAATTAATCGTTGCTTAAATTTCAATGTAACTAGTGTTGGCCCGTATTTTGTGATGGAAATAATTGAACTTTCTTTTGTCACCATTTCATGTTATGTTTATGAATTACTTGCCCATTCTCTTTTTATCATATGATAGAACTTTGTTAATTTGTCTTATGGGTGTGATTAACTTGTTTTAATTATTGGTTCTGCACCATTCTTACCTTCTAATTGGTTTTGGGGGGAGGGAGGGTTAATTTGCATTTAGTTTTTGGAAATTGTCCCTTTTGGTGATTGACTAAGAAGCATCTTTCATTTAGTGTATTGTTCTCTCTGATTCTCCACTTCTTCATGGAGAAAGGTTTATGCCGAATTGTTTGCGTTTGCTGTTAGATTATGTGCTTTGTTAAAGTATCTTGTAAATTTCCTCATTTGTCGTGGGCTGAAGTTTTACATATTCCTTTGCAGCACAAAGCATTTAACTCATTCTCGAGCTTATATCGACTTTATAAGACCAGAGGATGTCATCGAATTTGCTGAGTTTTTTAATGGCCATGTGTTTGTCAATGAGAAAGGTAACCTTGATTTGCTTATTTGAAGGGTGTATTGACTATATTTTCCAGTTTGAAGATAATGTTTTACATATTTGGCTTTTTATTAAGTTCGCTTCATGTTTGTAGCTTTGATGTTTGATATATTGATACTTCTTTGCTTGATTAATTTACTCAATTTATCTGTAACCTCCCCACATATTAACTGCTTTGCCAAAATCTTTTTTGACCGTGTGCTGGTACTTCATATTTTCCAGGGTCTCAATTTAAAGCTATTGTTGAGTATGCTCCTTCACAGCGCATACCAAAACAATGGTCTAAGAAAGATGGTCGTGAAGGGACTGTATTCAAAGGTGATTTTCTGTGTGCCTGTCATACTTGGCATAGATTCATCATACATTTACTCCATCACCCGTTTTTTTTTTGTTAAACGTGTAGATCATGAATATTTGGAGTTCCTTGAATTTCTTGCGAAACCAGTTGAGAATCTTCCCAGTGCAGAGATACAGCTGGAGAAAAAAGAAGCAGAACGAGCAGGTTGGTTCTGAATATTTTCAAGCCCATGCTTACTTGAAACCTATATGACTGTTGATTATTGAGACTTGTGGAATCAAAATATTGTATAAAAATAACCTCTTTAGTCTATCATATTGAACAATGAATATTTTTTTCTTTGTTTTCTTATAGGCGCCCCCAAGAATGTCCCAATAGTTACCCCATTAATGGAATATGTTCGACAGAAAAGAGTTGCAAAGTTTGGAGCTCGGGTAGGGTTATATCACTTATTTACTAAAACTGACATCTCATTTCCTGTCATCATATATGAGCAGCTGAATTGTTATTTGAAACGTCGATAATTTGTTTCGAACTTGTGATATTTCCATGTGAGGATTTTATGAATCATCAAACTGTTGCCTGCTTGACAACCTTTGATAGAGAACCGTGGTGAATGGCAAGTCTTCAAGAAAAGTTGGTGGAATTTCATCCAAGAGTCCTGTCTCAGGTTCTTTAAAACGAGGCTCTGAAAAAAGGACTTCTACCATGGTAAGTTGATACTCTTCATCTGTTTATTTTATTACTTTATTAATTTTTTTAATAAGGGTGGGTCTACTGCCGTATGGTAGTAGTGTTTATGCATTCTTATCACCCAAAATTTATTCGGTGGATTGGAACCCGCTGAATTTTTTTTCTGCCCTTATATTTACTTATGCAGAAATAGAACGTAACTAAGGTTTAGTTTCTTGTGGAAATACTTGACCAAACGTGCTGTTATACCCACATTTATTTGCTATAGGAATACTTGATCAGAAGGTAATATAGGAATGTTAGATGTCCAGCCATAGAAATATATAGAAAAGCTCAATTGGTGTATAATGATGCCCTTTTTCTTCAAAGATGGAAATAGTGGTGTTTGTAATGCATGAAATGTATTTTTCATCTCTCTTTCTAATGAGTTATACGTATACCTGGCTGTTGAATACTGGCATGTATTCGCTTCGCTATATAAAGGCAAAGCGGTCTATCTTCCAAATATTATGTTGTGGCTTTCAAATTATTAATGAGCTTGACCGGAAATTGTTAAATCACTTTATATTTTTCTAAAGTAGCATATTATTTCTCACAAAACTTCTCCTTTCAATGTTTCAAGTTTGTTATGTATGTGTTTTTATACACTGGGATGGCATCACAATACAAAGTGAGTTTAGTTTTGCCGAAGTGGATGGTTACAGCAAGTTAATTTGTCGATCAACAGTATGTCTTAAAGGACAGCTCAAAGGGTTTCGGAGGGAAGGATAAACCAACTTTCCTGGTAGTTTCTAAACACGATGATCAACTCGCTGACAAGTCCGACATTTCAGCTTCTGTCTCCAGAGATGCTGCACCGGAAAGGGATTCTGGTAATACTCACTAAAACTTATTTTATTGGAGGGCATCACTTTATTTTCCTTACGATTTGTATTGGTCGTTCTGAATGGTTTTTTTCGTTGAACTTTTATAGGCATTCAAATCTTTTAATTGTCAGCGAGAGCAAATAGTTTAGTGGTATTTTCATATTTTTCTTTCAATAAGATTTCGTGGATAAGATATATTGGATATTAGTGTACTAATTTTGCATGTCAGGTGGTCTGCTGGTGGCATGGTGATGCTAACAATAACACACCTTGTTAAAAGAATATAATTATGGGACTTTAGTGGTACCAATCAGATCTTTGGGCTGAAGTATGGTGGATTGTGGGTTTTTTTTTTTTTTTTTTAAACCAACGATAGCTATTATTAACGAGATGAAAACTCAAACATATGTACAACCCTTCAACCCCAGGGCCAGAACCTCACATCTGGACTTACATCAACTGCCAGAAGTGACAAAACTACCAGAAAGGGCACTACCGACCAAAACAGCCAAAAACCAAAAATCCAAAAAAGAGAACATATGTTTTTGTTTTGGTGGATTGTGGTTTTGACCGTTGCTGCTTTGATGAGTTCTTATAAACTTTAATATTTATTTCTATGCTTGATTTGTCTGTTTAACTTTGCTTTAATGGAATATGGGTAGTTGAGTGTTCAGATGACAGATAGTTTCCATCTGTAGAAAAGTCAAAGACACGAAGTAATATATCAATGAAGCATGAATTTGGTGCAAATTGAGAATCTGCAAAAATTAGATGGAAGGACCTGAAGTTTGTTTCTGCATTCTTCTCAGAGGTCAATGTGATGTTATATTTTCCTCTCAAGTGCCAAGCTGGTGACACACACACACACATCATACACTTTTAAAAGCTAGAATCCCTAACCCTTTAGATTTTTTATGATTTTGCTATTTTACCCAAGTTACTGCTGATTTTATGTTTCTTAGCTGTCCGGTGATTCTGCAAAATGCAAATTTATGTTTGTCCTGTGAGGACACCAACTTACCTTTATTTCCGTTACCAAAGTTTTTGGACTATGAGATTCTTGTGTGTTTGTCAAGTGACTTGCCATCAGCCATCAGTTTCGTGATTTTGTTTGACCTATGGTAGGAGGATCGGGATCCACTGGAATTGTGAAGAAAAAAATTCTGCTTCTCAAAGCGAAGGAAACTTCTAATGTAAGTCAATTTATTTCTACAAGTTGAAGTGTGTGGAGAATAGAATGAGTGAAAAGAGAGAATTCAGTGAATTAGACAATTTTTAGCGCATGAGTACGTTTATTTGCATATTTATTTTCTTTGGGTGGTGTGTTGGTACGGGTCTTATGGTGGTATTAGTATGTTCCATCTGAGGCTATAGGAACGGTTACTTAGTTGTGATGCCACATCGCTATGCTTCTTTGCACTTGAGGTAGACAGAGGAGCTAATAAGCTCTGTAAGACGTCTTATATTTTAATTAATTGCATTTGAATGTGTGCTTAAGCTTGGCCTGGCCAGCCACTTCAAATGTCTTCTCTTTCTTTAGTAAGAGGGTGTGCTTGGGAGAGCTTACAAGCCCATAAAATTTGTGGTAGATTTTTTTTAATAAAAAAGCTTATAAGTTTCAAAAGCTCTTCAAGAGCTATAAGTTCCGTAGAAAAGTATGTGCCCCCTACTTTTCGAGCATCTTAGAATTTCCTCTAATTTTATCATTTAAGACATATGATAAGCCAAAATACCTTTTTATTACCACTCACTCTTAACACCATATTTTAAGATAAGAAATAACAATTTATCAGCTCTAATAATATCTTAGAAAATATCGAAGCTTTTGAGATTTTTGAGAAGTTCAGATAAACACCCTCCTGAGATGGTATTGTACTGTTCAGATGACTTCCTAGTTTGGCTGGTGTATGAGAAAAGAGGAAAAACTAATGAAGTCTTATTTTCTGTTTGTTCTTCGCAGGATGCATTGATTTCATCCGAAAATTCACATAGTTCAGCAACTTTCAGAAACAATCAGCAACGTGACACTAAAGGAAGGATTGTCAGGAGTATACTTCTTAACAAAGATCCTCATCAGAATCAACCATCACTAGGGTCTCAACGTGAACTGAGAACTCCGGCTTTGAATCAAGATAGGGACAAAAAACTTCCCCGGCCCCCAATCAGTCAGTTGCTTCACAAGGAAACAAATGTATTTCCTGAAGATAAGGCAGCCATTAATGATTCACATGCTGTACGTACTGAGAAGAAGGAAAGGCGAACGAAAAATAGGGATAGGCCTGACCGTGGTGTATGGACTCCTATCCGGCGTTCAGAGGGATCACATGCAAGTGATGACTCGTTATCTTCTTCTGCTTCCCAAACCTCCCAAGTTGTGGATTCTGCAGAAGGTCCGCACCCTTGATAAGAAGTCAATTATATGTTTGTTTGTGTTACTGAATAATAGCTTCAGAGTCTTCAGAGACTACCAAAACTCTTTTACTGATTATGCTTAATTTTGTGCTATGCTGTCATTTTGTATTATATTTTTTGACTAATTGTATGGTTGTCCTGGAGGTTAATGTAGATGCGAAAAATGAGATATCGGTTACTCGTGGTGGAAATTATAGGCACAATGGCAGTGGTCGCAACAGTCATTACTCTGTTCAAAATGGTAAGAAGTTTTTACAGTTTTTTTTTTTTGGGATGACAAGGGATTGAACATATGTATTTTACATTTTCTTCTGATATAGACATTATTAAAGGGAATAAATATGGGTGTAAAAAGAAATGGGTTGTTACTAGTGCAGATTTTGTGATCTCAATTGTCTGACTAATTTTATTATATAGCACTTATTATTAGTTGCTGCTAGCCTGCTACTAATTTTAGGAGGGGAGATGAGTATATTTAAACTATTCAGCATAGGCTGAGGGTGCAGTTTGAATCTTTTGGTGGGTTCATTTGTGTTCGTCTTTCTGATTTGATTTAATCATATTAAAAGCATCTTTTTAATCGTGTCCTTTTCTGATCATTTACTCTAAAACATTTTCTGAGAACCTGTAGGTTATCGAAATGGGGGGTGCCGTGGTTCAGCTTACAATGTGAAAGATGCATCAGGCTCTTCAGTTGTGGAGGGGAAACCTTTGAAACATGGAGCTTCATCTGGTTATGGCACCCATGAGGTAATCAGACTCAAATTGAAATCTATATTCCCACTGACAATCTTTATTCTGCTGTCCTTCCTGTACAATGGAACCCTTCATTTCATTTTCTGCTGTTCACATTTGCAGAAACAAGTGTGGGTCCAAAAGTCCAGTTCGGGCTCATAGTTTTGGTGTATATGGTAAGATAACTGTATGTAATCCCATGAAAAGTGTTAAAAAAGCTTTTGAGAATACATTTTTGCAAATTTCATTTTCTTTCGAACCTTTTCAACCATTTGTTTTTTTTTTGGCAGTGTAATGATTTGGTCAATTACCATATTGACACACACATGATGGTGGCTGGAGGTTTTCTCTCTTGCTCGATAGAATCTATCCTGCATGAGAAGTTGTGATGTGAAACACAATGGGAAACTGCTAAGAAGTGCATTGGTTTTCCTCGATGATACTTATACTGTTGGAGTGTTTTACCCTTGAGTGGAAATAACGTTGGTCAGTAGAAGGTCATAAATAAGGTACGTATGATGAAGTTCAGAGAAAACGAAAGAGTAAATGTAGTCGAAAGATAATTTAACACCACCATTTGTCTGTTGCCCCTATGATGGATGGGGTGGATTTTATCCAGTCGAAGGAGTAAGAGAATCTCCTGTACTCGGGCATGCATATATTACCCGGTAAGTAAACAACTATATATCTTAGACAGCTATGACTTCATTTTGGTGAACTGTAAATACAAATCTAGGATGGTGATTGGTGTATACTGCCACTGTTAAGTCACCATACATAATGTTTTTGTTTAATGGTCTGCCCTTGGGCTTGTGGTGAATATACAATTAATTTTAAGTACTGGGATTAATCTGCCCACTGCCTTTGGGTCTGAAGTTTGCTGCCTACTTGATTTGATGTTAATTTTGATTGCTATTTTATTTTATTTTGTTTTGTTTTTAGTTGTATGATAATACTAAATTGTGTGTAAGAAACATGAAACTAGAGGTGGGCATCTGGGTATTGGCCTTGTCGTGATAAATTTATAAAGTTGAAAATTTATATTTAAGCGCAAGCGATAATATTTAATTTATTTAGATATACCTAATTTTATTTTGTATTAGTACAAAAGTGAAAATCAAAATCTTACAAAATGATATTGACATATTGAATTTTTTCCATTATATTAAAAGGTAATTCTATTGTATTTTAATAAATTCAAATATGTATGATAACAACTTAAGAATAAAATAAGTAGCAAATTATTACATAATGAATATAAATAAATTATTATTTTTTTTTAACAAGAAATGGTTAAGTTTTTCTATCAATGACGACGGACCAATGGATCAATCGATTAAGGTATACGGTAATCCAAACGGCTCTGGCTAATTGGTCGGAACAAAATACAACTCGAGTCTAACTGATCGATAAAACATAAGATTTTATTTATGATATTTATCAGGGTAAGTCTTATAAGGTTTTATCCATTTAATATCTCAGAAAATATCACTATCTAATTTTCCGTAATTAGACAAAGAATTAGTGTAGAAGTCACGTGACAAGGAGCTTTTCTATTTATTAAGTATCATTTGAAGTAGATATCGGTTAATATATAATTTTTTATTGTGTTCTGCTTTCCTGCATTTTTATTATTCCTGAAATTGGATAATCATGCGTAGATAAATTCAGGTGAGTAATGACGAAAAGTGGCTAAATAAATTATTGATTCAGATAATAAAAATGGAGACAAGCGAGCGGTAATGTCTAACGATGTTCTTGGAGAGGTGTGTATCTATGACACAAATCAAATCTGACTTAGCATTTTTCAATAATCAAACTTGAGTTATTATGATATTATTTAATAAATATTCAACCGATCCCGAATTCAAAGTTTAGTGAGATATTTTCTTTCTGGACCGACAGTTTGTTTAGAAGATTTATCTAAATAACATGACTTGTATAATATATTAGTTTAAAATATGATGATTTAGTGGACATGAATATACTGTTCTCTTTCTTCACCTTTCCAAGATAAAGCCTCAACAACTGGCACCAAAAGTCCTACTAATGTATCTATCAGAATTGACCGTTCGTAAAATTGCATTTTGGGAATAAGAAATTGACTATGCATATATATTTCTTTAAAATTGTATACATACATTCATATATGATTGTGGTACACAAAAGACTTTCCCCGACTTTGATTCGGCCTGGTTTGAGCTTCTTGCCGGTTGAACGTCCTTGAGACCTGCAAAAATTTTACATCTGAGGAATTTTTCGGTGAAAAGTCTCCAATGCTAAAGTTTGTTGGGATCTGTGAGGATCTCGTTATGTACAAGTCATGGATTTAATAGCAAACGTAAACCTATGCGCAACGGATCTAAAGGTTTGATGTAGAAAACTTATGGCTTAAAATTTATGTAGATCTGGTTGACCACGAACGGTTGACCGCAAATGATTGACCGCAAATCACGTCTTGGGTTGCACGAACAAGATCAGATAAAAAACAGATCAAAACCAAACTTGCAGCCAGACCGCTTGCGAAGGCGCGTGAGGGCGCGTGCGGCGTCGGATGGCGGCGATCCCGGCAGTGATGGAAAGCTCTCGTCGAGGCGGTCGTCTGGGTATGCTGTGCGTCTCAATCGGACCTCCGGTTAGTTCTGTAGGATAAAATATATTTCGTCTCGGTTTACCTACAGATCTTCTGCTGTATTACTCAATACACCCTTCTTCAACTTGTACCAGTGAGACAACAAGAAGAAGATAAAGATCGAATGAGATCTAGAGAGAGAAAGTATGGGCGGCGTGTTTGTCTCGTGAATATGAGATGGGATCTCTTCTCATAAGCCTAATGATGTATATATAGAGCTATAGTAGGGACCTTAGGAGATTAGGAAAATGGCTCATTAATTAATTAGATTAACTGTGGGCCAAGCCCACTCCTCTAATTAATTAAATGATATTAATGGGTCACCAACATTATATTATTGCACTCTCTTTTCCTAGCCCAAATTACATTTGAGACTTCAATAATAATTACTCGATTTACCTACTCACGTTTAAGATATAATGTCCATTAATTAATTCTATTACTGACAATCAAGAATTAATTAATTTATTATTATTTTACCGAAGCTAGCGCTCGTTCATCACATTCTTATTATGCCGGAACTTAATCCACCTGCAGGATTTAGCATAACAATCCTTCATGAACTCACTACGGGGACATCATCAAACTAACGCACATGGTGACCGTAAACATCCTAACAGCACATGCTATATATAATAATATTACCCAAAACAGTAGGAATATTAATCCAGCGAACTGAACTTCACCCATGTGAATCAAAGTAATATATATTTTATATATATATATATATATATATATATATCTGCCTGTTTATAATCTTACGGGTTAAGAGAATGCAGTATATAACTGAGGCCTAGTTCATTTAAGACGATCAATATAAATGAACTTCTCCTCTCTAGGATCCTATTCAATACATAAATGTACTAGTGCAACTATCAGTCAAGACAAACTGTACAGTTGACACTACAACTGTTCGGATGGGGTGTTCATGTCCATCTAGGTTGTGAACAACTATTCTTGTTCGCATGTAACTGATAGAATGATCTTCGGTTCGCCCGATGACGACCCACTCTATCTAAGTGCATAACAACAGAATGTAGAACTTGTTTAATCTAACATGATTCTCATTCATAAAGGGCAAATGTGTAGTCTTATCAATACTTAAAGCTTTAGCTTTTATAGTATAGTCTTATTAATCCGTTATTCTAAAAGACCTATATTGATCCTATTGCCATGCTCATGACTCCCATTCCTTCCACGTGTTTGACGAAGACCTTCCCCGACAAACTCTTCGTGAAAGGATCAGCTAGGTCTAGGTTGTCCTCTGACGCAATCTTGGCAACATCAACGTCTCCTCTACCAACGATATCGCGAATCAGATGGTATTTGCGCTCTATGTGTTTGCTTGTCCTATGGACTTGAGGTTCTTTTGAGTTTGCTACTGCTCCACTGTTGTCACAGTACACGGTGATACCACGTGACAAACTCGGTATAACCTCTAAGTCCACTAAGAAGTTCTTGAGTCAAACTGTCTCTTTCGCTGCCTCTAAGGCTGCTATGTACTCGACTTCCATGGTGGAGTCTGCCACGCATTTCTGCTTGGCACTCCTCCATGAAATGGCTCCACTTTCCAAGGTAAACACATAACCTGAGGTTGACTTAATTTCATGTCTATCTGATTGGAAATCAGAATCACTGTAACCCAGAGGTAACAAGCTGCCTGCACAGTAAACTAACATGTACTCCTTAGTCCTTCTCTGGTACTTGAGTATATGCTTCACCGCAGACAAATGTTCCCGTCTCGGTTACTTTGATATCTAGCTACCATGCCAACGGCGTAGCTAATATTCGGCCTAGTGCACAACATTGCATACATGAGACTTCCTACTGCCGAAGCATAAGGAACCGTTTTCATCTCCTCTATCTCCTTAGACGTCTTAGGAGACATCTCCTTAGATAGAGGTATTCCATGTCTGAAAGGTAACATACCTTTCTTGGAATCCTGCATGCTGAATCTGGCCAAGATAGTATCTATGTATGAAGATTGAGATAAGCACAACATTCTCTTCTTACGGTCTCGAATGAGCCGAATACCAAGAATGTGTCCTGCTTCACCTAAGTCCTTCATACCAAACTGCTTAGACAACCACACCTTTACGTCTGATAACTCCTTCTTACTGTTTCCAATAAGCAGTATGTCATCTACGTAAAACACAAGAAACACCACCACGCTCCCACTGATTTTCTTGTAAATACAGTGCTCATCCGGACATTGAGTAAACCCGTACGGCTGGATCACCTCATCAAAATAGATGTTCCAAGATCTCGAAGCTTGCTTCAGTCTATAAATAGACCGATTAAGCTTACACAGTAGATGCTCATGACCTTCAGCAATGAATCCCTCTGGTTGTTGTATATAGATGTCTTCCTGCAGGTTCCTGTTAAAGAAAGCTATCTTGACATCCATCTGTCAGACCTCATGGTCCATATGAGCGGCTACAGTCAAGAGAATCCGAATGGACTTAAGCATAGCTACTGGCGAAAACGTCTCATCATAATCAATACCCTCGATCTGGTATAACCTTTCGCA